TTCGGAGACTCTGGGAGCCCTCCTGCTGCTCCCGCCGGGCGCCGGCAGGGTGCCTGCCCTCACGCTGCTCCCCGCGCCCGACGGTGCGCGGCGGCGCCGCTGCCGCCCTGCCACCCCGCCTGTGGGTCTCACAGGCGCGGCGTCTTCCTCCCTGTTCACTTCTGCCCATCCAGCCAGCTTTCCCACCCTCCGCGCGCAGCCATAGCGCCGACGGGCTGCTCGCAGCCGCCGCGCTGGCACCTCGGGCTTTGTCTTGCCACCCGCCGCCTGCCGCTCGCTCCCGCCCTTGGGAACGTGCGGCCACCAGACGTTGGTTCCACACTGACCGTTTTGCACCTTTGCCCCAGTGGGATGGCCCCAGCCCCCACACTGCGCCCCCCCGCCGCCGGCCCCCCGGTGCAACAGCCGCCGCGGACCCGCCGGCGGGGCCGGCCGCGCCACGCGCTCGTGGGGCGTGACCCGTCCCCTTGAGCGGCCTCGCTTCCCTGTCGCCCCCTCTTTCGGCCGTTTCCTGCGTGGTGGCACATTCGTTACAACGGCACCCCCGTTTAGGTAGCTCCCCGCCAGCGCAGTCATTGTGCCTAGCCGCCGACGGAAAAAAGTGTTTCAAGTTTGGGCAGCTCTTGGGACAGTAGTAAAGGGCATCGTGGCCCGCCGTGGCGGCTCTCGGGATGTCTTGGGGCTGTATTGGGCCGTCTTGAAACGCTCCTGAAAACCTTTTGGGCCGTCTAGGGGCGCTACTGGGGGTTCTTTGGGTTGCATTGGACGTTCTTCATACCGACAAGGGGCCCTCTTGGAGGTCCTCCCAAGGCCGTATTGGCTGTCGTTGGCGCTTCCCCGGTAATATTGAAACAATTTTGGCCGTTTTAGAGGCACGGTGGAGCCACGTGGGGTTCGTGGGGTAAGTTGGGCGTTTGGGAAGCATGTTGAGTTGCTTCAGAGGCCATCGGGGGCACGACAGCCCCAAAAATATCCCATATGAGCTCGCCACACGTTCGTTTTGAACCCCCCCATTCTACTCAAATTCAGATGTTGGGACCAGTGGGGGATAACAGAGAAGGGAAAACGTTTCACACGCCTGGAAGACCCAACGGGTCGGCTGATCTAGGCTTTTCCGGGGAAATTCTTGGGAGGCGCCATGGCCATTTGGAGCCGTCATGTGGCAGTCCGGGGGCTTCAAGAAAGCATATTAGCGGCCATCACCGCCGTTTCAGGGAGGCTTTGGAATCCCACCAGCCCTTTAGGGCGTGAGTGGTTTAGATAGTCCTTTCTGTTCTCAACCCCCTTCTTCCCCTTCGGGGAGGGGTTTATCAATGTATCATTCCCTATTAATAAACACCCCTTCCCCCAGGCGACTGGGGGCCAACCAGGGTCCATGCCGACCCCCCCCCACCATCCATTTATATATTATATCATATATATATATATATATAATATATATATATATATATATATATATATATAACTCCGTCTCCAAATTCGGAACATGCGCGCCCAACCCGATGCGGCCGGCGGCTGCGGCGGCGGTGGCGGCGGCTGCGGCGGCGGCGGCGGCGGCGGCGCGGCAGCGGCAGCGGCAGCGCAACGGCTGCGGCGGTGGTGGCGGTTTGGCAGCGGGCGGCGGCGGCGGCGGCGGCGGCGGCGGCGGCGGCGGCGGCGGCGGGCGGCGGCGGCGGCGGCTGCGGCGGCTGCGGCGGCTGCGGCGGCGGCGGCGGCGGCGGCGGCGGCTGCGGCGGCGGCGGCGGCGCTGCGGCGGCGGCGGCGGCGGTGGCGGCAGCGGCTGCGGCTGCGGCGGCGGTTGGCAGCGGGGGGGCGGCGGCGGCAGCGGCGGCCGTGGCGGCGGCAGGCGCGGCGGCGGCGGCGGCGGCGGCGGCAGCGGCGGGCAGCGGCGGCGGCGGCGGCGGCGGCGGCGGCGGCGGAAACGGCGGCGGCGGCAGCGGATTGGCCCCCAGTAGCTGTCCTTCCCAAGACGACTGCTGAATATGCTGAGGTTCGGGCCAGACTCGGGTGCTACGTATGTGTTGGGAGGGCGGGTTGAGGGTGAGCGAGACGGCTTACGGGCGGGGAGGAGGTAACTTGACAGGTCCCCCTACCCCTCCCCCCTCCCCCTGGGCCTGGAGAGGGGGGGCCGCGGGTCGCCGGGGCGTCTTTTGTCGCTCCCTGGGGGGGTCATGTTTGGACACCCCTCACAGGGATCGTGGCCCCAGGGGGGGGGACGGGGGGGAGGGGGGGGGCAAATAAGTGCTTTCGCCTTCTTTGACCGATCTCCTCCAAGATGGGCCCCAAGACTGCCCAAGCGGCGGCCAGTACGTCCCAAGAGGGCCCCAAGAACGCCCAAGAGCGGCCCAACAGAGCCCCAATCGGCTCCAAGACCGCCACAACACTGCTCCAAGTGGCCGCGGAACCTCCCGATGACGCCCCCGAGAAGCCAAGACGGCCCAAGAGGTCCCCAAGACGCTCCAAGAGAGCCCCGAGAGGCGCCCTAAGAGGGCCCCAAGAAGCCAAAACCATTGATTTTCCGTGGGCGTTTCAAACTTTTTAGCGTTCCCGCCCTTTCGGCTTCCCGACGCTCCAAGACAGCCCAAAAGGCATGCAAGACCGCCCCAAGACGGCCCAATAGGCTCCCAAGACGGCTCCAAGACGGCCCAAGAGGGCCCCAAGGCGGCCCAAGAGGCGGCCAATACGGCCCAAGAGGGCCCCGAGACGGCCCCAAGAGCGCCCAAGAGGCGCCCAAGAGCGGCCCAAGAGAGCCCCAAGAGGCTCCAAGACCGCCCCACGACGGCTCCAAGTGGCCGCGGAACCTCCCAAGGACGCACCCGAGAGGCCAAGACGGCCCAAGAGGCCCCCAGAACGCTCCAAGAGAGCCCCGAGAGGCGGCCCAAGAGGGCCCCACGAGGCCAAACTCATATGTGTTCCTGAAATTTTTCAAGCATTTTAGCGTTCCCGCCCTTTCGGCTTCCCGACGCTCCAATACACTCCAAAAAGCCCACAAGTCCGCCCCAAGACGGCCCAAGAGGCTCCCAAGACGGATCCAAGACGGCCCGCGAGGGCCCCAAGACGGCCCAAGCGGCGGCCAATACGGCCCAAGCGGCGGCCAATACGGCCCAAGAGGGCCCCAAGTCGGCCCCAAGAGCGCCCAACAGGCGCCCAAGAGCGGCCCAAGAGGGCTCGCTCCAAGAGGCGATATTTCGGGCCCCGACGGGGGTACACCAATAAATGCTCTCTCCTTCTTTGCCCGATGGACTCCAAGATGGCCCCAAGAGACCTCCCAAACCCTCACAAAGAGCCCCGAGAGGGTTTCAAGATTCCCAAAGGAGCCCCAAGAGAGCCCCAAGAGAGCCCCAGGGCCACGATTCCCTGAGATCCCCAGAGAGCCCCAACATCGCACGGCAACGCCAGGAGGAAGAGGAGGACGAAGAGAAGGAGCAACGAGGACGAGGAGAAGGAGAGGAGGATGGAAGAAAGACGCCAAAGAGAGGGAGAAGGAAGGGAAAACACCCTACGGTCAGCGCACCTTTTTCGAGCGGCTGCTTTTGGATGGGCTGGTGGGGACTCGCGAAGCGTAAACAATTTTGGACGCCATAACTTCCCACGCTCACCCTTCCCCAGACCCGGGGAGGGCTTGGGGGGAAGGGGGGTATCCAGGCCGCACGCATGGGGGCTGAGTACTTGAGGTCGGTGGAATCCAGAGCCCGATTCTTCCGCACCAATGTCGTCGCTGCATTGGCGATGCGGTTTGATGCTCCGATCCCATCCACCGTGGCCCCATCCGGGCGGCCTCCAGAAGTAAAGCTGATTTTCCCAAAGGGAGGGGGGCGGAGAAAGGGCTTGGAAGTAGTGACGCCGCAAACCACCTGCGTACGAGCTACGCCCAGAGGGCCTGCACGAGCCTAGGGCATCCCGGATCGGTTAGGGGGCCGAGGCACTCTCTCTCACACCCACACGCACACACCATAGGTGCAAGTATGTTGGCGCCACGGCCCCCCTCACCCTGCAGCAGGGAGGAGGCAGGACTGGAGAAGCAAGGGGCAGGAAGCAGGAGGCATGACGAACAAAAATGCGCAGTCGTAGTCGCATTCGCGATGACAGTCGCAGCGGCAACGGCAGTCGCAGTCACAGCCTCAACCTCAGCCTGCCTCAGCCTCAGCTTCAGCCTGCCTCAGCCTCAGCCTGCCTCAGCCTCAGCCTCAGCCTGCTTCAGCCTCAGCCTCAGTCTGCCTTCAGCCTCGGCCTCAGCCTCAGCCTGCCTCAGCCTCAGCCTGCATCAGCCTCAGCCTCAGCCTCAGCCTGCCTCAGCATCAGCCTGCCTCAGCCTCAGCCTCAGCCTGCCTCAGCCTCAGCCTCAGTCTGCTTCAGCCTCAGCCTCAGTCTGCCTTCAGCCTCGGCCTCAGCCTCAGCCTGCCTCAGCCTCAGCCTGCCTCGGCCGCAGCATCAGCCTGCCTCAGCATTCAAAATGTGGCCCAGGAGCGGAGTTCTGGGAACTAGAAGAACACGAAGTGGCCTACAGTTGGCTCCGGGCATTCAAAATCATGCCCAGGAATGGAGTTCTGGGAACTTGAAGAGCACGAAGTGGCCTACAGTTGGCTCCGGGCATCCAAAATGTGGCCCGGGAATGGAGTTCTGGGAAATCGAAGAGCACGAAGTGGCCTACAGTTGGCTCCGGGCATCCAAAATGTGGCCCGGGAATGGAGTTCTGGGAAGTCGAAGAGCACGAAGTGGCCTACAGTTGGCTCCGGGCATCCAAAATGTGGCCCGGGAATGGAGTTCTGGGAGGTCGAAGAGCGCGAAGTGTGTGACTGTTTGGGAAAAACGAGTGCGGCGGCAGCCGCGGCGGCAGCCTGTCCGGGTCCCGCCCAGACCCCCCTGAGGAGTCATGATGCTTTCTTTTGAGACCACTAGAAACCTATCAGCAAGAGCTGTTAGGTAAATACTGGACACCTCAGCAGGACAGCACTCCAGCAATCAACTAGCCTGGCCTGGAGCCCCTATCGGGGCGGCAGCGGATTCCCTGGGCGCCACCCTCATATTGGTCGGGGGTCTTCAGCAAGGTGCACATGTTCAACTTGACCCAGCATGCAAAACAAGTAGCGTATGTGGACACTGATGCGTTTCTCGTAGACAGAGGAGCTGACAACGTATTCTCTGCATGCGCGGCAGAGCTGTGTGCTGCGAGGGATGCGTACGAAGGGGGGGACATCCAAGCAGCCATGATTAATGTCGGCGTGCTCGTGGCAAAGACCAGCAAGGTCCGCTTCCACGATTTATTGCTTGCCGCTCCAACAGTCAAGCCGTCTCGATTCCCCGAGCAGCTGTTTTTCAGCACGTATTTCAATGTATCCCGTTCTGCGGTGCAGGACGGTACGTTTCAAGTTTTGCCTGGGATCTACAACCCTTGCAATGGCGATATGGACTTGGTGAACAAGTCGTTGATTTTCCACGCATGTGGAGATATGAAGTTCGAAATGCTGCCACTATGTTCATGGGCGGTTCCTGCAAGTCGACAAGCGGATTTCTGTAACAACCGTATTGTCGCAAAGTTTCAAGAATTGCTCGTGGCGTCAAACTATTGTGCCATGGCGGGGCAACACGCCTCGGCCTGTGATGCGAACCCTGAATGCCAATGGTGTGGGGATATGGTCCGTTGCAGGTCCAGGGCCAGATCTTGTATGCTTGAAACCCCAGGCACAGCGGCAATGTCCACCCGATTAAGATTAAAGAGTAGAGGGTGGGCATGGGTCAACAAGTTGCTGCATGAACTGACAGAAAAGCCCGACAACGTGTCTATGGTGTCTTCAATTTCTCTTGAACCGTCAGTGATGGCATCTGTAACTGTGCTCACTTGCAACCGGAACGCGTTTTTACAGAATGCATTGGAGCAGATCGTTTCGCAGGATTACCCGTCACTTGAAGTTGTTGTTGTAGACGATGGTTCCGAGTCAATCGCATCAACGTTGCAACCCAGGTTGCAGAGGCTCCGCAACCATATTTTCTCGTGGAAGGGCTTGGAAGTGCAGCTGATTCGCTTACAGGAACCAGCATCCCTCGGCGAGAAAAGAAACATTGCCCTGCAAGCAGCAAGGGGAGGAGTCATAGTTCATTGGGACGATGACGACATGTACCCGCCTTGGCGCATACGTGCGCAGGTGGAGCCTATCATGTCAGGGCGGGCTCAGATGACAGCTCTGCCGCATTCCTATTTTGTGCAATTGCCGAATGCCACGTTCTTCAAGTATGAGATGGTCACTGATGAGGGCTACAAGAAGGTAAGAGCGGTGTTTCTTGGCTCGCTGGTGTACCAGCGGGAAATGGCGCTGAAGGTAGGCGGATTTGCGAATGTCAGTGCAGCAGAGGACTACGAGTTCAGCGAACGTGCTTTGCTGTCTTGCCGCAGTCTCCTCGTTGTTGACGAGCCTTCTATATACGTCCGTCATGGCGGCGGTGCGCATAACAGTTGGCAGTGGGACCGCAATATCAGCCTGCCTGCGGCAAGCCCCAAGCCCCGCCGCCGTTCCAGCGAGGCAGCGCAGCAGCAAGCTCCTCCTCCTCATGCTCGTCACTCCTTCTTCACATTCTCCCCCTCTCCCCTCCTCCCTCTTGCGGGCGGGTAGCGGGACCATATTTGAGCTCTCTTGGGCCGTCTCTGGGACCTATCGGGCAATATTGAGGCGCTCTTAGGGCCGTTTGGGGGGCTTTTTGAGGCAGTGCCGTCCGCGTGCAGCCCACCACCTACGGCCCCAGCAGGTTGAGCGTGCCCAGGACCAGGGTACATCGTTGCAGCGCGTTCTGCAACGCTCCCAGGGCGACCTGGAGCGCTCTGGAACGGCCGCGGCGCCCAGTACACCCCCCAGAACCGCTGGGCCTCAGAGCTCCCCAACTCATCCAGGTACGGTTCTGTCCTTGTCCCAGCTTCGTCTTGGTAGGAGTCATGGCATGCGGTCCCAAGCCCATGCCTGGGGAAACCAAGCGGTACCAGTACTGCTACTCCCCGGACCTCTCCCAGGGTGCGTTCTGACCAGGATCTCGAGGTGAATCCAGCGGTGGCGACGAGGGCATCCCAGGAGGCCCAGAAAAGGGAAAACGGGCGAAGGGCAGCATTATGGGTATTTGTTCCTCCTCCGGGAGTCGGCGCACCCTTAACCTGGATCGAGTTTTCAGGGGCGGCCTCACCGACCCCTAGCAAACCATCTCTCTCTGCGACGTTCCCCTCGCCTCGCCCCAGGACGCACGTATGCGACCGGAGGGAAGTGTGCAAGGCGAGGATGACGTCACGGAAGGGCACGGTTTGCCAGGGGTCGGTTAGTTACCAGCCTGGAACATATCCCTATCCTTATGCTGGGCATCTCCGCATCACGATGCCAATCTTAGGGGTTCCCTTATTTTTTGAGGGCGCATCCCTAAGATTGTCATCGCCTTGTGGCGTGCCAATCTTAGGGATAGGGATAAGCTCGAGGCTGGTAAGTTAGACCGCGCCCGATGCTTCATTCTTGGGGGGGCTCGGCGCACCTCGGCGCACCTGCTCCGCAGGCACTCCTGTGGCGCGCCGGAGCCAGCAGGGCCGCACCCCGCGCCGCGCGCGGCTGCGTGGACTCCTCGCCAGGCTGCGCCACTGCTGTGGCCTCGTGTGGCCTCGGGCGTTTCTGTGGGAGTCTCTCGGAGGGTTTTTGGGGTTCCCCCTCCCCCGTCCTCCTGACTTGTTCTCCGAGCAGTGTTGCTTTTGTTGTGGCGATCGGCCGCTGACATGTTCGCTCAAGCTTTTTCCCGAGGATGGCTGTGGTCCATCCGTGGGCAGTCGGCGTGGTCACCCAGCTCGCGGGCTGCTCCGCCGTGTCCGAGCTGCCAGTGCGCGCGCCCGGCGGTGCCGCTTTGCCCCGCGTGCCCTGGGGCAAAGCAGGTGGCCTATGCCTGATGTGCGCGGAGGCGGGCCCCCCGCTGCGGCACCAGCGGCGCTGGCTGATGGGCCGGGTGGTGTTTTGACCGAGTGACGCCATCTTCGTGTCGCCTGACCACGTGGTCCAGTGGGAGGTGGTCGACGGGTCGTCGGCAGACACCAGCGCAGTGCGATGGACCGACGGATTCGCACCCTGGCCGCCGGGCGTCGGGAGGACCTATCGGCGCGGCGCCGACGCTGGCGGACGCCGCCTGGCTCCCCGACGCCGAGGCCGAGGCGCGGCAGCGCTTTCGAGCCGTGCCTCCGGGCGGCGCCGACAGCCGCCGACGCCGCCCCCTCTGGCGCATATCCCAGCGGCGGCTGCGGCCGTCGCCCCGGCGGGCGCGCCCCCCCTTAGCAGCGGCGGGGGCCCTGGTGACGGCCGCCGCGGCCGCCCCGCCCGCTGCGCCTTTGGCCACAGGCGTGCTCGGGCGCGGGGCAGCGGCTGCGGCCGCGGCCGGGGCTGGAGGCCAAGGCGGCGCCAGCGGGGGAGGCCCCCCCGCCGGGGCGGCGCTGGCGGCGGTGGCCGTGCGTTCCTCTGGCCGCTCGCGCTGGCTGGCGGACAAGTCCGCACTGTTCATCGAGTGGGTCGCCGTGTCAGAGGAAGGCTCCTTCAGCGACTGGGCGGCGGCGCCCGAGTGCCGTCTGTTGCCAGCGCGACTGGGCTGGGCGGGCAAGCCCCTCAGGAGCCTGACCAACCTAGTGGAGAGTTGCCGGGGGGAGGTCATAGCGGATGTCCTGAAGCCGAGGGCGACCATATGCGGTGCCTGGAGCACCTCGCCATCGAGGGTCGGTCCTTGGAGAGCCACTTCGATCATTTCAGGTATTTAACTGGGTTGCAGGATACCCAGTGGGGCATGGAGGAGCACGCGCAGGTGGTGAGCTACCTGAAGGCGTTGCTGCAGCATGACCAGGTGGATGGCGGAAACACTGAGCCCGCGGAGGTGAAGTTCCAGCGCCTCCAGTCCATAGGGTATTGCTACAGCGACAAGATTCGCGAGCGCGCGACGGGCGCCTCAGGAGGGCGGCTCGCGACAGACGAGGCGGTCTCCAGCGCGACCGCTCGGGCCGTGGCCAGGCGCGCGGCGCCGCCACAGCTACTGGAGAGCGCGAAAGGCGGACCTCGAGCGGGACGCCGCCCCCGCCAAGAGTCTGTCGAAGGCGCGCGAGGCCCGCGAGGCGCGAGGCAAGAAGATCGGCCGCCCCCACCCCCTTCTGGTGTCTCTCGAGCCTGGAGGGGAGGAAGCGAGCTTGCTTGAGACTGCTCGGGGCGTCTTTGCGCCGACCGGATCCTTCGGCAGCGGCGTGGACAGGTAGATTTCGCCTCTCCACACGGCGCCCCGCGCTTCGTCTCGACAGGGCCGCCAGCGCACTGGCTCTCGCGTGGCCGTCGGCGGCGACTGCCGGCGGCGACTGCCTGGCGATGGTCTTCGGCGCGCAGAGGCTCAGCGCGCCGCGCGGCGCGGGCGCGCGCGAGGCCGATCCCGGCGGATCCGGAGCTGCCCCGCGAACCGCCCCGGATCGCCTGAACTTCGCGCGGCAAGGCGCGCGCGCGCGTCGAAGCCTCCGCCTCCTCTCTGGGGCCGCCCGCCCTGAGGAACTCTCGAAGGCGTCAGCCCTCGCGGGGGATGCAAACTCGCCAACCCTGTCGAGTCGCAGGTTGTGCTGATCGACGCGGCTCGAGGAAATTCTAGACGCTTCGCGGACCCCCACCAGCCCACCCAGAAACGATGCCCAGAGGAAATACCTCGATCAGGGAAGTGGGCAGCACACAAAGGAAGGGTCCCCCAGTGGAGGCCTCTTGGAGCGTTTTGGGGGCTTCTAGGCGGTTCCGGACGCCTCTTAGAGCGTCTCGGGTGCCTCGGGGAGCTTTTTGGGGCCTCTTGGGGGTCTCTTGGGGGCCTCTTGGGGGCCTCTGGGGCACCTGTTGGGGCCTCCTGGGCGCCTCTTGGGGCCTTCTTGAAGCGCTCTTGGGAGCCTTTTGGGAGCGCTCTCGGAGCCCTCTTCGGCCAACTTGGAGTCATCGCGAAGCCTCGGATGGCCATCGCAAGAGAAAGGGGGAAAAAGCCCAAAACACTGATTGTCCGTAGGTTGCGGTAGGATGTTGGCCATTCGGGGCCTCCTGGGGGAGCTCTTTGGCCATTTGGAGCCGTCGTGAGCCGGTCTTGGGGCCGCTTGGAGCATCGTGGGAGCCATGTCGAGGCATCTTGGGATATCTTGAGCCATCTTGGAGGTCATCCTGGGCTCTCCCAGGCGCTCTTGGAGCCATCTGAAGCAGCGCTCCCCCCCCCCCCCAGGAGGCCCAAATGTGGCCAAAAACTTAGTAGGAAAAAACATTGCAGTCTCGCCGAGGCCTCTTGGAGCGTCTCGGGTGCCTCTGGGGGCCTATTGGGGGTCTCTGGGGAGCCTCCTGGAGACATCCTGGGGGCCTTTGGGGGGCTTGGGCTTCTTGGGGCCACGTGGGGCCATCTCGGGGCCTATTGGGGCCTCCTGGGAGCCTCTTGTGGCCATCTTGGAGGAGATCGATCACAGGGGGGGGGGGGGGGGGGGGGTGGGGGATGCTCCCCCCCCCCCCCCCCCCCCTCAAGGCCAAAAAGGGTGCAAATTGTTTAGAAAAGCAATGGCATTGGTTTCCTCGCCGGGCCGTTTCGGGCGCTCACGCGTGCACAAACCCCCTGTCGAGTCCCAGGGGAGGTTAGGGGGGGGGTCAAGACCGCCCTCCCGCCCGCAAGCCGTCTCGCTCACTCCCACCCGCCCTCCCAACACATACGTAGCACCCGAGCCTGGCCCGAGCCGCAGCATATTCAGCAGTCGTCTTTGGATGGGCAGCTACTGGGGGCGATCCGCCGCCGCCGCCGCCGCCTCCGCCGCCGCCGCCGCCGCCCGCGCAGCCGCCCGCCGCGGCCGCCGCCGCCGCCGCCGCTGTTCCGCCGGCCGCAGCCGCCGCCGCGCCGCCCGCCCGCCGCCGCCGCCGCCCCCGCCGAATCGCAGCCGCCGCGCAGCCGCAGCCGCCGCACCGCTGCCGCGCCGCCGCCGCCGCCACCGCCGCCGCCGCCGCCGCTGCCGCCGCCGTCGCCGCCGCCGCCGCCGCCCCCGCCGCAGCCGCCGCAGCCGCAGCCGCCGCCGCCGCCGCCAAGTTATTCTGTATTGTTTGTTGACGGGGATGGTGGGGGAGGCCGCGTCGGGTTGGCCTCGCATGCTCCGAATTTGGAGGCCGACTGTGTTTTGTATAGGTTTTTGCCAGGGATGGTGGGCGGGGGCCTCAGTGACTCGGGTTGGCTACCAGTCGCCTAGGGGAGGGGGTGCTCATTAGTAGGGAACAGTGATAAACTCTTCCCCGAAGGGGGGGAAGGAGGGGCAAAAGAGGAAACACTCTAGACCACCTACGCCCAAACGGCTGGTGGGATTCGCCGTAGAGGGAGGGGGGGTGCGAGGGTCACCGCAGGGCCTCTGATGCAGTGCCCCCCCCCAGGATCCTGGGGGGGCACTGCTTCAAATGACTCCGAGAGCGCCTGGGGGAGCCCAAGATGACCTCCAAGATGGCTCA